CCTACAGTTTTATGGTTTTTGTAAAGTTGGCTTCACACAACGTCTTGCTTATTGGGTTACCCATGGGAAGTTGACTAGACTCCTGCTGCCGTGGTCTATGAAGACATGTAGCACAGGGCTGGGATCACCTGTGGCTAGGTGATTTAGAAAATAAATAGCTCCTGCAGGATGTTTCACACTGTTTAGTCACCATCAGCCTCCCAGTTCTAAGTAAAGAAGCGGTGAGAAAGCACATATTAGGACTTCACAGGTGTCATTGCCTGATACCTGGCGACTGCTTGTTAAAACAGTAGCAGAAGGTCATGAATTCATGTATCATTATCGCGTGATAAGAAAGCAAGTATGTTGTGTAATTCTCGGCATTCTTCTGAATTTTTAAAGTACTTTAAGCAATTCAAATGAAAATGCAAAAAAAAAATATTTAAAATGCTATAAAAATGCTTTTGAAAACCCAAGTGTTGAGAAATGACTGTTTTGCATGAGAATATCATCTGTTTCATTCAAACTAGAAATGAGGCCACCTCTTCCTCTTTACCTTTAATCCACTTCAGAAGACACCACGTCATGTACACTTCTTCCTCTTCTTTGTTTGTTTGAGTTTTTTTTTTTTGAGTTCGTTACCCAAGCTGGAGTGCAGTCGCACTTTCACAGCCACTGCAGCCTCGACCTGCTGGGCTAAGGCAGTTCTGCCTCAGCCTTCCAAGTAGCCGGAAATACAGACACGAGCTACCATGCCCAACTAATTTTTTGATATGTTATAGAGATAAGGTCTCACCAAGTTGCCCAGGCTGGTCTTGAACCCCTGGGCTCAGGTAATCCTCTCGCCTTTGTCTCCCAAAGTGCTAAGATTACAGGCTTGAGCCGCTGCACCTGGCCATATGGCTGCTTCTTTCTTTTTCTTTTTCTTTTTTTTAAGTTGGAATCTCACTCTGTCGCCCAGGCTGGAGTGCAGTGGCTGGAGTGCTGGGCTCAGGTGATCCTTGTGCCTCATCCTTCCAAGTAGCTGGAACTATAGGCATGCGACACCATGCCCGGCTGTTTGTTTGAATAACCTTACTGAGGTACAATTGACCTGTAATAAGTTCTCTTATTTTAGGTGAACAAGCTGATGAATTTAGAAATTTATACACAGCAATGTAAACACCTTCATAGTCAAAACAGAGAACATTCTATCACTCTAAAACATTTCCTCTTACGCCTTTGTAGTAGGTCCCCTCCCTTACCCTGGCCCAGATACTGTCTGATCTGCCTTTTGGTCACTATAGCTTTGCCCTTTTCAGGATTTCATCTAAATGGAGTCATACTCTATGTAGTCTTCTGTATGTTTTATTTCATGTAACACAATCTTTTGGAGGCTTGTCACTGTTGCTGAATATTTTCGTATTTCATTCCTTTTGTTGCTGAGTAATGAGTAAGTATGGATATGTTAAGTAAGGTAATATAAGTGTATATATAATATAAGTATATATGATTGGGGTGCCAAAAAAGTATATACATTTTAAGGGGTTTTATTTATTACCTTTAGTTTGCTATAATCAGAAGTGTTTGGATGCTGATGGTAACCACTTTGAGCACCTCTTATAACTGCAGAAGTCAAAAATGACTTGCATTCATCTTTTGTTATTGGTATACATTGAGTATTACAATTTCAATAGTTTTTTTCTTTCTTAAAATGTGTATCAATTTTTTGGCACCCTCTGAATATGAATGTATCTAAGTAATGTGATTCATGTGAGCGTGTCTTTTTCTTCAGCCCTTCACTCATTAACTGCTCAAATGGTTTTTAGTTGGGAAGTTGAATTACTTTGAGATGTCTCTTCACAGTAAACACATACCTCTTACCTGTTGAAAGTTTAACAATAAAAATTTGACTCTTTTGCAAATTAGGGTTATACTTTAATTTTTTAAAAGTTATTTATACTAGACAATTTGGTTATTATATGCCTTGGCATAGTTTTCTTCATGATTCTTATGTTTGAAGTTTGTAGAACTTCTTTGATCTATGAGTTCATAGTTTTTCATCAGAATTGGAAATTTATGGGCATTATTTCTTATACTTTTTAAATTCCATATTCTCCCCTTCTCTCCTCTGGGACTCCAATTACATGTATATCGGGCTACTTAACATCGTCTTATGGTTCAGTGACATCCTTCTTTCCTTCCTTCCTTTTTTTCTTCTTTTTTTTTTCTGTTTCATTTTTGCTAGTTTCTATTGGACTGTCATTAATTTCACTTATCTTTCCTTCTACATTGTCTACCCTGCTCTTATTCACATCGAGGGTATTTTTCATCATTGTAGTTTTATTTCTAGGAATTTGAATTGAATCTTTTTTAAAAATGTCTATGTCCCTAACATGTTCATTCTTTCCTCTAGCTTCTAGAACATGAATAATACAATTATAACTTTTAAAGTCCTTGTCTACTAATTTTATCATTTGTCATTTCTGGACCTGTTTCTGTTGATTGGTGTTTCCCCTCAAATGAGTTGTATTTTCCTACTTATTGCCTGCCTGGTGATTTTTTAAATTGGATACCAGATATTATGAATTTTATGTTTTGTGTGCTGAATTTTTTGCATTGCTATGAATATTGTAAATTACTCAAGTAGTTTGACCCTTTTGAAGTTTGCTTTTAAGCTGTGTTAGGTGGAATGAGGGCCAGCCTTAGTCTAGGGATGATGTCATTAACCTTTGTGAGTACTCTTTCTGATGCCCTGTGAATTATGAGGTCTTCCACTCTTCTCCCTCAGACTAGACTCATGAGATCAGGTACTATTCTCGACCCTGTGTGAACCTCAGAGATTGTTCTCTTTGCTTCCTTTGGGTGGTCTTTTCCAACTCTTCTCAGATGACTTTCTGATTCTCAAGCCCTGATCTGATCAGCACTCAGCTGAGGACCTGGGGGACCATCTGCAGTCTCTGCAGCGCTTGCTCTGTGTGGCTCTCTGCTCTAGGACTCTGCCTCTGAACTGCAAGGCCCTGGGCCTCCCAGCTGTGTCCTTCCAACTCAGGGAGATGCTGGGCTCCTCCTGGGCGCCCCTGCCTGCACAGGGCCTGGAAACTGTCTCCAGGCAGTACGGTGGAGCCCACCTCATTTGCTTTCCTTCTCTCAGGATCACTGTCCTGTGCTGCCTAATGGCCAGTAGTTTCCTATGTTTTGTTAAGTTTTTTTGTTTTCGGGTAGGAGAGCAAATCTAGTCCCTGTTATTCCATCTTCACTGGAAGCAAAAATCCCACCTAGTTCTTAAAATGTTTAATGAAATATTTGTAGCACACAGGCAAGTATATGGTATATTGATTACTTGGATAGCCACAACTTGTTTTTGTAGTTTTGTCATATTTCTGCTGCATTTTTAAAATAATAAAACATCATAGATGCAGCTGAAATCCTCTCTTCTAGATCCTATTCTTCTTTCCCTTTACAGAGGTAACCAGGATTCTGTGTTTGATAATTGTCATTCATATGTGGATTTTTAAAAACAATTTTACTACATATGTGTGTACCCATAAATAATCTCTATTAATGGTGTTACTGTGCAGGTTTAAAATGGTATCATGCTATACATATCATTCTTCCATTTTTAATCCAGCATTTAAAAAATATTTATCCTCATGATACATGTATCTTTAGCTGAAATGTTCTTTCCACAAGGGTAAGAATCCTGCTGTGTTTTCTTCAATGGGATACTCCAGGCTTCCAGAGTAGTGCCTGGCACATAGTAGGCTCAATTAGTGAATTCATTGTAAGTGCTATATAGTAATTGATTATTTGACTGTGCTACAGTTAATTTATTCTCCTGTTAATGGATTAGGTTGTCCTTTTTTTTTTTTTTTTGGCTGATATGAACTATGCTGCAATGAATATTCTTGTTCACATGTGTAAGAATTTCTCAGGCTGAGCACAGTGGCTCACACCTATAATCCCAGCACTTTGGGAAGCTGAGGTGAGAGGATTGCCTGAGTCCATGGGTTCAAGACCAGCCTGGGCAACTTGGCAAGACCTCCTTTCTACAATAAATCAAGAAAAATATTAGCCAAGTGTGGTGGCACGTGCCTGTAGTTCCAGCTGCTTGGAAGGCTATGACAGAAGGATTGCCTGAGCCCAGCAGGTAGAGGCTGCAGTGGCCGTGAGCATGATACTTCCCTCCAGCTTGGGAGACAAAGTGAGACTCCAGCTAAAAAAAAAGAAATAATTTCTTTTAAGAACTGCTGGGTCTTAGGGCAGGTGCCTCTTCAATTCACAAGTATATTGCTGAATTACTCTCCATAGTAGTGGTACCCATTTCTACTCCCACCAGCAGTATATGAGAAATCACATTTCTCCACAACCTCATCAATACTTGATATTATCAGCTGTTTTAATTTTTGCCAGTCCTATATGAGAGGGGACTTTCCCCCACCTCCCAAAACCCCAGAATTATCTTTTAGAGGGCAGGTCCCTTGTAGTACAGGCTTCTCCCGCTAGGTAAGTGTTATAGGAACCCATAGGCAGCAGTGTACCAGCTAACATTGTGAGAAGCTGTGCTTGGCTTCAGTGAATTTTTTTGGAGATTCTTTCAACGTGTTTGCCCATTTCATTTACAAGCGTACCTGCCCACACCACACTGAATGTTCAGCAGTTTTTGACCAAAATGGCATAATCCCCATGCCTCACCTTCCCTATTCACCCAATCTCTCCCTGAGCGACCTTTTTTTGTTTCTCTGGATTCAGAAAGTCCTCAAAGGGAAACATGTAACCGATATCGAAGAGGTGAAACAAAAAAAGGGCAGAAGCACTAAAAGGCATCAAAACTGATAAGTTCAAAACTGTTTTGAGCAGTGGAAAAAGCATATTGATAGGTGTATTGCGTCAAACAGAGAGTACTTTGAAGGTGACTGAAGTTTAAACATATAAGAATAAATACAAATTTTATAAATAAATTCTGGGATTTTTTTGTACCCCCTCCCCCTTGTATACATGAGATTATTTGTGTTTTACTTTTTTTTTCTTTTTCCCAATAGAAATTCTTTCCGTCCTGGGAGAGGGAATAATGAGAGTCGGAGAACTGTATTTTACACCAGTGAAGAGTGGGAACTTTTAGACCCAACCCCTAAGGACCTGGAAGAGTCTGTAGTGCAGGAAGAAAAGAAGAAACAGACCTCTGAAGGAAACAAAGGTATAAATGTGACTCCTACTGTCATTCTTTCTACTGCCATCTGTTAACCACCAGTGACATGGGGGACACTTTATTAACAGATATTTCTAGAAGTGTAAGGTCCAGTGGGGGGGGTTGCATTCTCTTTGTGGGACATAAAACTTTTTTTTTTTTTTTTTTAGTTGGAGTCTCACTCTGTCACCCCCAGGCTGGAGTGCAGTGGCCACTCCTGGCCACCGCAGCCTCGACCTGCTGGGCTCCGGCGATCCTTCCGCCTCAGCCTTCCGAGTAGCTGGAACTACAGGCGTGCGCTACCACACCCGGCTCATTTTGATTTATTGTAGGGATGAGGTCTCGCCAAGTTGCCCCGGCGGGTCTCGAACCCGTGGCTCAGGCAGTCCACTCACCTCAGCCTCCCAAAGGTGCAGGATTACAGGCTGAGCCACCGAGCCTGGCTTAGGGACATAAAACTTAAAGGCTTGCAAAATTAAGTGTTGCAAGAAAGAAGTGACGTTCAGTTCAATGGCTTTTAGATTTTTTTTTTTTTGGAAGACAGAAACACCTAGAAGTCATGATGCTCTTTATGGAAATATTGATTTTTTTTTTAAAGCTTTATATTTGTTTATTTATTTTTTGAGCTGGAGTCTTACTCTGTTGCCCAGGCTGGAGTACAGTGGCATGATCATGGCCAGTACAGTCTCTACCTACTGGACTCAGGCAATATTTCCACCTCAGCCTTCCAGGTAGCTGGAACTACAGGTGTGTGTCACCATGCCCAGCTAATTTTTTAATTTATTGTAGAGTTGAGGTCTTGCCAAGTTGCCCAGGCTGGTCACAAACCCCTGGGATTACAGGTGTGAGCTACTACGGCTAGCAAAAGTTTTATATTTAAATTTGAAATGTATACAAAAGAAGAGAATATAGATAGTATCATGAACTCTGGTGTGCCCATCACCCAGCTTCATAATTTTGAACTTTGATGTTTTTCCTTCTATATCTCCTCAGAACACCTACCTAGGTGTCTTGTTAGGTCTTTTCATTTACACAGCTCCCTGTCTTTTTTTTCCTTCCCCTTCCCTTGCCACATTTGTTGACAGAACCAGGTCTCCATGCTGAGGAATTTCCACATCTGGATTTTGCTTATTGCACGTCTGTGGGGTCATTTGACATCCATCCCCTGCATTTCCTTTGTACTGGTAGTTAGAGCCTAAGGCCTGCCCAGACTCAGAGTTGCCTTTTAATTTGGATAAGAGTACTTTTTTGGCAGTGTAGATGCTGTCTGCTTCCCGTGGCATCACGTGTGGAGCCATATCACGTCTGGCTTTCTCTCTTATGACATTAAGATCTGTCATAGTTTAGGGTTGTCAGCCTGATCCATTCATAAGTTCCCCATCAACCTTTTCCCTAATGCTTTTAATAGTCCTTTACAATTCTAGATTCATTAACTCATTAAGGGAATATTGACATTCTACACATAAAATAACAAAAATAATTTTGAAATTATTATACTTGTTTTTAGCATGGGCCAGCAGGAATGGAGGCAGGATTTTAGGAAATCTTTATTGGGAGAGCAAGTACTTAGTAAAGGAAATATTTTGTCTTTCTCTTGAGAAAGGATTGTCATAATTGGCTTTGGGAAGGAGCTTACCTCTATGTTCCCCATGACTCCGGTGAGGAAGCCACCGGTCCAGTGTGACATGATGTAAAATGTGGCCAAGCTAAATATACTTAATTACTTCATGTATGGCAAGGCCAGTGGTACCCAGAAGAAGGGCTCAATATAAGCTGGGAATGTTTCCTGGAAGAAGAGGGATTTCAAGTAGAGATTTGTGTTGTTGCAGATAAGCACTGTTCACTCTGACTTCTGGGTAGAGACTGAGAATGAAATGGAAGGGACGAATGTGAGCAAGATTGGGGAGCAAGATGAGCCAGGCATAGGGCATGTGTCTTTAGTCCTAGCTACTCAGGAGGCTGAGGTGGGAGGATTGCTTGAGCTTAGGAGTTTAGGGTTACAGCGAGCTATGATTGTGCCATAGCTCTCCAGCCTGGGCAATGGACCAAGACCATCATCTCAAAAAAATATATTTTTTAAATTAGCTGGGATGGTGACACATACCTGTAATTGCACCTATTTGAGAAGCTCAGAAGGGAGGATCACTTGAGCCCAGGAGTTAGAGGCTACAGTGAGCTATGATGGTGCCACTGCACTCTAGCCTGGGTGAAAGAATAATACCCTATCACCTAAAAAAACAAAAACAAAAAAAAACAGCTTGTGAAGGAAGAAGCTCCCAGAACCACTGGAGAGTATTTCCTTGACTGATAACAGCCTTCTCAACCCTCAGCCCACCCTCTCATTCTTTTGAGAGTGAGTTTATATGAAAGAAATAAGAGACAAAGATGTTACTGGGTTTTGATCTTGCTTGGTTCATGGGTGTGTCCTGAAACAGCTCTGCTCTGAGAATCAGCCCACCACCTATTGCCCATGGCATTCACAGGAAGTAAACTGCCCTCCCTATGCTTCCTCCCCTATATTTAAGTGACCCTTTCATCAAAGGGACATACAGAAAGCCCCCAAATCAGCTCAATGAATTGTCACATAGTGAACACACCCAGCATTTACTTCAAGAAAGAGGACGATACCAGCACCCCAGAGTCAACTGCCATCCCCATGCCCCTTCCAGGCACTGTCCCCACCCCCAGGGAAACATTGGAACCACCGTGCTGGCTCCTAACAGTATAGGTTAGTTTTGCCTACTTTCTAACTATATATAAATCAAACTGTATATAAAGTGTCTCCTCTTTGTATTTTGAGTATCTATATGAATCCATCTACACTAAAATTTATTTGAATCTCATAGTATTGTTTTTTTCTTTTCTTTCTTTTATTTTTTTAGAGCCAGGATCTCACTGTTGCCCAGGCTGACCTTGAATTTCTGGGCTCAAACAATCTTCCTGCCTCAGCCTTCCCAGTTACTGGGACCACAGACGTTGTACCACTGTACCTGGGTCCCATAGTATTTTTAAATACACATTTTTAGCTGGACTCGGTGGCTCAGCCTGTAATCCCACGCTTTGGGAGGCTGAGGTGAGTGGATTGCCTGAGCCTGTGGGTTCGAGACCCGCCTGGGCAAGTTGGCAAGATAATGAATAAAAAAAAAATTTAGCCGGGCGTGGTAGCGCGTGCCTGTAGCTCCAGCTACTTGGAAGGCTGAGGCGTAAGGATCGCCGGAGCCCAGCAGGTTGAGGCTGCAGTGGCCAGGAGTGGCCACTGCACTCCAGTCAGTGCTACAGAGTAAGACTCCAACACACACACACAAAAAACACATTTTAAAGGAAAATAATATAGTCATGCTTTAAAACATGTGTTTCTTAGTTCATTTTATAACAATGCCACAGATGGAATAATTTGTAAGAGCAGAAATGTATTTAGCTCATGGTTCTGGAAGTTGGAAGTCTAAGAACATGACACTGGCATCTGATGAGTGTACTGTGTTATCCCATAGCAGAAGGGAAAAGAGCAAGAGGGAATCAAACTTGCTTTTATAAAAGCCACTCTCATGATAACTAACCCACTCCGGTAATAACAATATTAATTCCTGAGGGCAAAGCACTCATGACCTAATCGTATTAGGCCCCAACTCCCAATACTGTTGCCTTGAGAATTAAATTTTCAGACATCAACTTTGGGGAATACATTCAAACCATAGCAGTGTGTTTACATTTAAAAAAATAAAACATACACTTGAGTGTAGCAGATTAGCAAAAGTAGGAAGCCAAAGATCCCTAGTGTGTCCTTTTTTTCCTTAAAAGTGGTCCTTTAAAGTGATCACTTGATAGTCTTATGAAAGGTCCGGGAGGGGGGGTCACTTTTGGTTTCAAGCACACTGGTTATTATACAGAGTGTGATGGGCACTGGGAGTCATCTACCTCCTCACATTCTCCAGGTGATGAATGGAAAGCTCCTTGGAGGATGATCTAAAGGAAAAGGGGGTCTTTATTTATTGTAGTTTCCAAAAGGAAGGTTTGGCCTGTGCTTACAATAACAAGTTTTGTTTTCATGTAGGACTAACTGGCTCAGGATTCCCCTTTGACTTTGGACGTAACTCCTACAAAGGAAAGCGCCCTTTGAAAGATATAATTGGGTCGTACAAAAATCGTCACAGTGGTGGTGACCCTTCAAGTGAGGGACCATCAGGCAGCAGCAGTGGCAGTAAGCCATCCTCTGAGATGCAGCTGCAGGTTCAGAGTCAGCAGGAAGAGCTGGAGCGGCTGAGGAAAGACCTGTCCAGTCAGAAGGTAACATTTCTTTTTTTTTTTTTGAGTTGAAGTCTCACTCTGTCGCCCAGACCGGAGTGCAATGGCCTCTCCTGGCCACCGCAGCCTCTACCTGCTGGGCTCTGGCGATCCTTCCGCCTTAGCCTTCCAAGTAGCTGGAACTACAGGCGCACGCTACCACACCCGGCTTATTTTTTGATTTATTGTAGAGATGAGGTCTCACCAAGTTGCCCAGGCAGGTCACGAGCCCGCGGGCTCAGGCAATCCACTCACCTCGACCTCCCAAAGTGCTGGGATTACAGGCTGAGCCACCGAGCCTGACTGGTAACATTTCTTCTTCAGGCTTCTGCTTGTCCCACAGCAGCAGGCTGAAGCCCAGAGTATGTTTCCCTGGATCTTTTGGGGGATAGCTTTGTTTTCCAAAAGTTTTGTGTTGCCCTGGCCACTGACCTAGACACTGCTGCGCTACTTGTTCAGAGATGCTTGCATCTGCAAGGAGAGAAGAGATCTCTTCAAGGCAGGCAGAGCATGTGGCTGTGTGCACCCACACCGGTCCTGCCCCTGAGACCCCAGCTCTCCAACCATGGCTTCAGCCAGAATTCTTTAACAGTCGTTCAAAAGCATTTCTACATCCTGTGAAACAGCAGTTTCCGTCTGGGCTAATCACACCTAATTATGCTTAATTGCTCAGCAGTTCAGGGAATCTTAGAACACGGGTTTAATACTGATGAATGTTTACTGGGAACCATTGCTGATTACAGTACACTGTCTACTTCCTGTTTCCTACTGTTGTTCTCTGCAGTCTAGATGGAGTAATTATTTTTTCCTCTCTATTTTTGAGATCCTTCAAGAGGAAGTTCAGTGTGAAAATGTTTCCAGTAAAGTTCTGCATTTCCTAGATTCTGACAGTTGCTCCCTGGAGCAGTGTCATGATCTCAGCTTTCCCTCCTCTCTGCACCCTCCTC